GGAGTCCATTGAGAATCTGAAAAGAGAATATGCAGCAGCCCTGAGACCAGAGATGGAAGTTCTGTGTTTCAGAGCCAAGCAGGTGGGAGGGGAGGCCCCGGGCAACCGCGCAGATCTGGAAGGCTTTTGCCCTTTGCCAGGAAAGATGTAGGAGGGCCCGGAGACTTGATCTGTTTATGTTTTCTGAGGATCGCCTTGGCTGCAGTGTGGAAAGTGGACTGGAAGGGGGCAAGCATAGAGCAGGTAGATTCATTAGCAGGAAGAAATGAGGGGGCTGATGGGGAAGGGGGAGGGTGTGGAGTGCGGTGTGGTGGGTCTGTATGTGCTTTGATGGCAGAGGCTACAGATGGCATGCTGGGTTGCATGTGGGATGGGATAGAGAGGTTAACATGCTTCAGCCTCCGCAGATGGAAGAACGGTGTTGCCACGGGCAGAGAAAGGAGGAGCTGTGGGGCAGGAGTGTGTGAGCGAGTGTGTAACCATGTGAGGGAGGGTCTGAGGGAGGGAGGGAAGGGGGAGGGCTTCTAGGAGGGGAGGGCACCTGCGTCGGGCCCTCAGATATCTGGTTAGTGTCTGGGCTGGGGGTCGTGGTGCTGTCCCCGCTAGAGGCTCCACCTGGAAAGTCAGTGGTGTGGGATGTCCTGGAGAGGGAAGGGGAAAGGTCTGTGGACGTGGCCGAGGATGTCAGGGGAGCGAGACACAGCAGCAGGGAGAGCCAAGAGGGAGGCTGGCAAGGTGGGCAGCTTTCAGAGCCAGGCCAGCCAGGCAGACGCTGCCAGCACGTCGCTGACATGCCAACCAGGACATGGCCCCTGGGTCGGGCCACATGAGGTCACCATGGCGGTCATAGTGACCCTGACAAGTGGATATAGAAGAGCTTAAGGCCTTTCTCTTGAGAACTTCATCCTTTTTCAATATATTTCTTCTCTTGCTTCCTTGGAGTATTTTTGGCTGGTCCTTCAATCATTTATTTAGAATTTTGCTCTAAGTATTTCACGGCCTTCAAGTGGCTTCTCTGTAAGACAATATGGCTATGTCTTCGTTTAAAGGGCTTTATTAGGTCTATCTGGGTTTATAATTTCAGTGGATCCACAACTAGAGTGGAATAAAACTCATATTAATGATGTAAATGAAGCGGGTGATGCCAGAATTGAGCTAGAGGAACTGACAGCCCTGAAGCCACTTCCATGTGGCGAACAGAGTTTCCATTTTGTGTCTCTGGTGGCGTTCAGAGCGTCTCCTTGGCAGGGTTTGCCATTGGAGCACCCAGGAGTGCCTGCCCTGAGGGACATTGGTGGAGCGATGGGACTGGCCATCTGCAGGGCCCCCAGCAGAGTCAACTCTGATCTACCCATTTCACAGGTGGGGGCATGGAGCTGTGATGACACATACAACTTGAGCTGGACATGGAGCTGAGAACCCTCGAGCAGGGACTTCCTGGCACAAGCCTAGCCAAGGGAAGCTGTCAGTGTAGGCTGTGGGTGCTTGGCGGTGGCAGAGATGGTTACCTGCCTCCCCTCTTCCCAGGGCGGGTGCGCAGGTCCCATGAGGAGGCCCATGGACATGGGTGGGCAGGGTGTGGGCGTAACCAGGGTACTGCTGCGGGTGGGTCTTTCCTCTCTGCTGTGGCAAGGCGGAAGGCTGGAGGGGGTGTCGGTAGTGTGTGAGCATGTGTGTGAGCATACGTGTGTGTGTGTGCCAAGGTGTGTGTCATAGAAGACCAGACTGGAGCTCTGCTTCTGAGCGTGGAGTCGCTCCTCAGAGTCCTGTTGAGCACGGTTTATGTGCACCTCATCAAAAGGGGATAGATAAGCACGTGGCGGACTCAGTGCCCTGTCAGGACCTGAGCACAGGCTGGCCCCACGAGGGCCCCTCACTGCACATTGCAGGGCTCCTTTCTCTAGTTCTGAATCCAGGGCCTCCCGGCCCCAGCAGCTGTGGATGCAAGAGGCCGCAGGGTTGGTGCTGGGCTGTGGGCCCAGGGACTTGGGGAGGCTGGTTTGAAGGTGCCTGGAGTCAGCACCCACTATGGAGACAATAGTTTCTCTGAGGGCAGCTGCCCCTCAGATTTTAGAAAGGTGAAGTGTGCACATTTTGCCCTTCACCTTGGCCCCTCTTGCAGAGCTCACCTGGGTGGCAGCTCTCAGGTTGGGCAGGACCTGGGGGGATGCCATTGTGCCTTGCCTGTGGCTGGATCAAGAACATGGGTAAAGGGCCCGAAGCTGCCACAGTTTGTTTCACAGAACAAGTCCTGCTTTCGATGGCAGAAGCACTTTTGGAGTAAGGATTCGGCTGCTGCTGAGAAGAAGCACTTGCAGTTGAAAACCCCTGGTTGTGCACAAGCTCTAGGGACTGGGACTCAGAGAAGTGGCGGGGAGCGGCCCTCTAGAGAAGCTGCCGGGTGCTGAGCTCTCCCTGAGAGGTCACGGTGTGCTGGGCTGCCGTGTGCATCCTCCCCAGTCGGTGTCTGCTCTCTTGGCTTTCACAGGCGCTCCAGGGCAGGTGGGGGCTGGGCGGGGTCTGCTTCTCCCCTTGACTTGCCTCCTTACTGATGGGCACCTGCAACCCTTGTTCAGCGATTGAAGTCAGCGTTGCTTGATTATCTGGGTGCTGGAGGTAAACTGATGGTGGATCCCTGAGGTCCTTGCTCCATTCCCTGCCACGGGGTGGTGGGTGTGGACATGGGTTTCTGTCTTGGGCTTGGTGGGAGAGGGAGTGGGGGACAGTGAGGCCTGAGGGCAGACCTGCCAAAAAATATCCCACTACTGTATGGATATGCTGCGTGTGTTTATCCCTTCCTCAGTTGGTGGGCATTTGGGCCCTTTCCACCTTTTGACTGTTGTGGATAGTGCTGCTGCTTTTCATTTGTGTTCAAGCTTCTGGGTGGATGTGTGTTTCCAGTGCAATTGCTGGGTCAGAGGTAACCCCAGGTTTGGCATTTGAAGGAACTGCCACACTTCCCGTAGCCATACTGTTTTGCATTCCTACCGGCAGTGTTGGAGGGTTCCCGTTTCTCCACCCATTGCCAGCTTTCTTTTTGATTTTGGCTGTCCTAGTGGGGGCACACAAGCATCTTTCCTGTGTGTGTTGGCCATTCTGTTTCAGGATTTGTCTCTGTGATGTCTCTGTAGGATGAAGAAGGGAGGTGGGTGTGCACCCTCTTGCATTGGACATATTGCCTCTGTGTGAGAGGCAGGTAGATACCAGGGTTCTCTTCTGTGGTCTGTAAGACTGTTGTTCCATGGCCAAGTTTTTATTTACTTTGTTAATTTATCTAAAGTTCAGTCTTCCTGCTTTCCAGGATGCTCAGAACCTTCAGCTGGTGGAAGGAAGAACGCGCCTGGTGCATGATCAGCCTTGCAGTGCTGTTGTGCTTCCTGTTGTGGGTGTTGAGTCCTGGCCCAGCTGTGACTGGTTAGCCTGGACTCCTTTGCTCTGTCCCATCACTATGGGCACTCAGAGCTCTGCTTGGGTCAGGGGCTGAGGCCAGGACTGGGACTTGCTTATTGTGGTAAAAAGCCACAACATTAACACTTGACCATCTTCGCCAATTTTTTTTTTTTTTTTTGGGTTGGAGTCTCACTCTGTCACCCAGACTGGAATGCAGTGGCCGCTCCCAGCCCCTGCAGCCTCGACCCACTTGGCTCCAGCGATCCTTCCGCCTCAGCCTTCTGAATAAGCGGAATTACAGGCTCATGGTACCATGCCCGGCTGATTTTTATTTATTTATTGTAGAGATGAGGTCTCGCCAAGTTGCCCAGGCGGGTCTCGAACCCACAGGCTCAGGCAGTCCACTCACCTCAGCCTCCCAAAGCGCAGGATTACAGGCTGAGCCACTGAGCCCGACTAGTCTTGGCCATTTTTAAGTGTATAGTTCAGGAGTACTAAATACATCCACATTGCTGTTCAACAGATCCTTTGTCATCTTGCACAGTTGGAGCTACACCCATTAGACACTGGCTTCCTGCCCCCATGGTGGGTCTTGTTTTAACTAGGCACTTCCCGAACATGCATGACTCATGTGCACGACTTATGTGCACATCAGGCTGAAGGTGTGTGCTCAGCGCTTCATCTCAGGCAGCTTCTCCACTCTTGGTTTAATTAGGCTGTGGCTCCCTCAGCTAGAACTGGCACAGAGCCAGGAGTGAGCTGGTGGCCTGGAACTTGACTGACTTGATCTTCTGATCCTCTCTGGGAGTGTCCTGGGGCCTAGGCCTCTAAGACAGGCCTGGGGTTTCCCTGCACATGTACATGTGTGTGCATGCTTGTGCATGCTGTAAGCATTCATGTGTGTGGGGGGGGGGGGGGGGGGTGGGGGTTTCTGTTGATGGTTCTGCCAGGTGCTTCCTGGAGATTCTGACGGTTATGACTGACCATGTAAAAGCCCCATTCTTCCACTCTTCTTTCCACCCCAAACACACAGAGATGCCCAGTGGTGTGACTGTGAACACCTTATGCTCCGGAAGCACTGCCCAGTCCAGTTTCCCATGAGGTGACTTTGGCTCAGGCAGGGACGTGGATGAAAACGTGCCGTTGTCTCGCTTGGTGGGGATGAGTTGTATTCTGTGCTGTCTCTTCCCTGGGAGGCATCTGGAAGCTGGAGCAGACACAGTGCTGCCCCCTCCTCACCACCCATGTGGGGCAGAGCAGGGCTGCAGCCTGCGGGGACACAGGCACTGTGTGTGCTGCCCTTTGTCAGGTCGGGTTGCCCTGGCTGCATTTCCCACAGTCCTTGGGGCAGCCTGTAGAATGCGGCACCCCATGGGTTCCCACATATGGGGCTGGGTCCCCCCTGTGGATCAGGGGTGCTGTGTGGACCGGGGTTTCCCTGTGAGGATCGAGCTCCCTGTATGCAAAGTGGGTTCTCTGAGCACGTGCCTCAGCTCCCTTCCATGAGGCTATCCCACGGATTTCTTTACAGAAGCTTCTTATAGCTCTCTTTGGGGCCATGTCATTGGTCTGATTGTCTTTTCTTTTTTCTTCTTAATTTACAGCCAGAAAACCTGCAGAAGAACTGGCTTCGGGAATTTTACCAGGTAAGAACTTCTAAGAGCATGCTCTTTTAGATTACTTAGGGATAAATACTTCTTTTTATTTTGGTGATTCTATGTGAAGGAAGGTTGTGTTTTGTCTGTGGGGAATGCAGGCATGTGCTGTCACCAGGTTGCTCCTGGCAGTGCTGCCTGTGACAGGTTCACACTTCTGTTCCGTAGTCAGTCGATGTGCCCATCCCTTGGTGAGCCAGGGCCAGGCCTTCCCACAATTCACATTCCGGCTCCCTCCTGGTGGGCAGGGCCACTCCTTCCCATGGCTGGGTATCAGATCATCGTGGCTGGAGGCTGTGGAAAGCTTGTGGCAAGACTGGATGTGCTTTTTGGGTAGTCTGGTGGTTGTGTGCAGACCGCATGGGGGCCCAGACAGGTGGCAAGGCCATACCAGGGGCAGCTGCAAGTCTGGGCACAAAGTGGGTGACTGGGGGGAGAAAGTGACCAGTCCAGATACTTTTGGGCTAGTGTTGTCAGAGGAGGCACAGACCCCTTGGTATAATGTTGAACAGGCTTTATTGATACGGATTTTTCAGATTAGCCTGTGGTTCAAGAGTGTTGGCTCAATGGGTTGGCCAGCCTAGGCCCAGAGAAGGTCTGGTAAGCCTAGCCCTGGAAGTGTTGGCTCTAATGGGCTGGCAAGCCAGGCCTTGAGGGTGTTGCTGGTTTAGTGGGCTGGCAAGCCTAGCCCCTGGGTGTCTCAGCTTCCGAGTCTCACCTTCCAGCAGCTTTCCAGGTTCAGCTGCCTCTGTCGGCTGGCAAGCCAGCCTCTGGGGGTGCACGGCTCTTCGGCTTCAATGATCTTCTGTAGCTCATCAGGGTGGAGAATCTTGTCTTATGCCCTGGAAGAATGAGGACACTGACAGCCGGAAAGTGAGAAAATGGGACTTATTGCGAGGACAGAAAACCTCCTACAGTGAGTGGGGACCGAAAGGGGTTGCCCTTCTGGGGCGGAAATGTGATGCTTATATAGCCCTAAGCTCAAGCTGATTGGCTAGCACTACCTGTGAGCTGATTGGTCCTTACTTAGCTGTTCTGAGGGTCAGTCCTAAGGACCAATCAGCAGGAGGTAAGGGCCTAATGGTGAGCTGATTGGTTGCTTTTCGATCCCAGCAGTGGATACTTAAACTTTAGCTTGAGAGGCTTGCGGGGAGCTTGTTTATAAACGCTGAGCCTGAGAGGCCTGCTGGGAGTTCGCTACATTGTTACCAGAGGACCCACCCGTCTCTTTGCCCAGCCTTTCTCTGGCTATCTCCTGTCTTATCATGGGGCACCTGCACTGGTGGCTGTTCTGTCTCGGATGTGGGAATGTCGTTTTGAAGAGCCAGGCAAATCTGTGCTTCCCAGACATACATCTTAGGAGCAGGAATCAGGTGACTGGCCAGCAAGGAGCCACCTGGATTCTCTGGTGGCTGAGTGTGCAGGGGGCCAGATGGTGTGGTGTGAGAGGTTGCTCTGAGGAGGGAATGTTTAGGGGAGGTTTAGTGGGTGAGAAGGGCTGCATGACCATGGGCGTGGCAGTGTCCAGGCCCAGCAGGGGAGCCACAGAGAGGCTAGTGTAGGGTGGGCAGCCTGCCTGGACAGTGGAGCCTGCCTGGACAGTGGAGCAGGGGCTGAGCTGGTGACTGGAGGCGATTCGTGTTTCCCAGATTGCTTTGGCTGTTAGGTGGAGATGGCCTTGGCCAGGTGAGTGGAGGCCCAAGGACCCTGTGAGGCTGCCTTGGGTTTCCTGGCAGCAGCATACAGGGGGTGTGCAGTTGCACTTCCCACCTGGTTGGGTTTGACTATGAAGGGACTGTCTCGTGAGGGTGGGGGGTGGATGAGGGGCTGGGCCAGGGGCAGAGCCGTGGGACAGCTGGGAGGCCTGGGGGGGCCTCTGCACTCGCAGGTAATCTGTGCCTGGCCCATCAGTGTTCCCACGTTGTAATGCCAACAAGAGTGAAATGGGTGCTTCTGCAACCCATGTCCAGGTCATGCCAAAGGACGGCCATGTGTGTGAACATGTCTGTGGCAGTAGGAGTGCACGTGTGTGTGCACATACCCAACAACCATGTAACGGGGATGCTGTTTTTCTAGAGAACTAACACCTCTCTTTGTGGAGTTCTTTGGTCAGGTGTGCAAATGAGATAAATATTTTTCTCTTTTAAAACATGAAATATGTATAAATCAAAAGATTAGATACAATGAATTTATTAAAGGATGAATTATAATGTATTGGCCACAGTCTGCTCAGCACCTGTTTGAAGTCCGAGGATGCCTCAAGAACTGAAGCTGCCCCCGCCACACTCTGCCACCCCTGCCTGGAGCACGCTTGTTCCCTTTGTGCTGACCACACGCAGTGGGCCCTGCCAGCTGTCCCTCTCCCCAGGCAGGAGTCGTTGGTGGGACGGGTTTGCTCAGCACGGCAGGGTCCTCACTGCATGTGCCTTTCAGGGAGCTCCATGTCCCTGCGCTTGTTTTCTCTTTTACGGGTATTCATTTAGTGAATGTTTCGTGTGTGACAGCCCAGGAGTAGGACCTGCCACATTTGTGGTTGAAATCAGAATCCACCCTTGTGATTTCATGTTTTTCCTTTGGCTTATCTGGACACTGTCACTGCTCTTTTCCTGGTTTGTTTTATCCTTGTCATATTTTAATTTGATCCCAGTAAGGCTGGTGATACCCCGCAGAGTGCTATTTTGGGAAACGTTTGTGGTGCCCTGGGCCTGACGCCCAATTTCTGATGGTGTACTACAGCCGTGATAAACTCCGACTCCTCAGCAATGACTGTCTCCAACCATGTTGACTCGCCACACCAGGTGCTGACCAAATTCTTCCTGGGGCCTGAAAGGTCTCTTCTCCTCCTGCTCCATGGAGGGCAACAGAGCCCCACCTATGAGTGACAGAAAAGGCAGCTATGTCCCCACCCTCCCACCCCCAGCAGTCTTCCTCCTTGTATTTGGCCTCCAAATCCCGAAGCCCCTGTTCTCCTGCAGCTCTGTTGTGTCCGTGGGGTGTACTTGTGATCAGAAGGTGGTGGCAGATGTTGGGGGATGGCCTGAGCCTCCCCTCCTCCTGGCCTCAGAGTCTGCTAGTCTGACATCTGAGGGACTGAGGGGGTCACCAGGGTGACCTAGTGCAGGTTGGGCTGTGTCCTGGACTGCCCTGTATGGGGTACCAGTCCTGGGCCATGTGACCTGAGCATATGTGGGTGAAATGGACCCAGAGGGCCTGCTAGGGGCATCTCTGCCTGTGAACCAGGCCCGCTTGCTGGAGGGTGTGGGTGGAGCGGGGAGCCCAGGGCTACTCTGGGGGTTGCAGTCTGTGCCGGGTAATGTGGGGATGGCCAGGTATCCTGTCAGCCGGGTTTGAGCTGTCCACATCCCATAGGATACAGAGGATGGGCTGGGCAGCCCCTCCGCTGTGCTCCGAGTGGCCCGCCAGATAGATGTATTTGTCTGGATATGTGGTGTCCTTCGCTCACCTTCAGACATTGATGAAGCTCTTGTCCCCAGGGATTTTGACTGCTTCTGGGAGGTGTAAGATCGGCAGGCACATCCCTGGGAGAGCAGCCAGGGAACAGGAGGAAGATTCTGGACAGAGAGTTCTTTGAGATGGAGATAGAGAGAGGTTGGTGGTCAGGGGAACGATGTCAGCTAGTGAGTTGGGTAGGAGAGAAGCCTTGTCAGGGGAGGGTGTGGGTAGTCAGGTGGACAGGAGGGAGGCTCCGTCAGAGGAGGGTCTGGGTGGTAAGGTGGGCAGGGGAGGCCCTGTCAGAGGAGGGTCTAAGTGGTGAAGAGGGGGGGGAGACCCTGTCAGATGAGGGTCTCTCTGGTGAGGTAGGTAGGGGAGAGACCCTGTCAGAGGAGTGTCTGGGTGGTGAGGTGGACAGAGGAGAGGCCCTGTCAGATGAAGGTCTGGGAGGTGAGATGGGCAGTGGGGAAGCCCTGTCAGGTAAGGGTCTGGGTGGTGAGGTGGGTGAGGGGGACGCCCTGTCAGAGGAGGGTCTGGGGGTAAAGTGGGCAGGGGGAGAGTCTTGTCAGAGGAGGGCTTGAGTGGTGAGGTGGACAGGGGTGAAGTCCTTTCAGAGAGGAGTTCTGAGTTAGAGAAATGAGATCAGTTTTTTTTATATTGGTCAGTGAGCCCTTTTTAAAATTTTTTCTGAATTGTTGAGTTAGGAATCTAATTTTGAGGGTTTGGGGAAGAAAGTGCTAGAGCCTAGATCAGCCAGAAATGGTCTCCAGGGTCAGCTACAAGCTGAGTGCTGGTTGTTTGGGGCCAGGTGTGGTCTCTTTTCCAGGCTGTGTGCCTATTGGGGACAGTTGGACAGGCTTGAAGGGCTCTCCTTGCCTGCCTGGCTTTGTGCGTGCCTTTGGCTTTAGGTGCTGGCTTGTGGCCGGAGCCCAGATTCCGCTCTCTAGGCTTTCTGCGTTTGTGTTATTTTTGGCAAAAGCAACTGCTATGTTAAACTGTAGCTTTGTTTGTTTTCTTTCTAAAACGGAGGGTTTGGTGGATAACTGAGGACGCTGGAGTTTGAGATTCCTCATGGGCACATCCAGGAGTGGCCGGTAACTGGGACATGTCCTGGTGGTGACCATCCTGGGGAGCACTGGGGATTCTGCGCTTTTTGGTCTGAGGTCCTGTTCCAGTGAGGCGGGCTGTCTTCAAGGAGAGGTCCTTGGGGAAAGCAAGTGGGGCCTCTCCTGTAGCCTCAGGCTTGGTGTCCCAGATCACCCCTGCCCAGCCCCTCAAACCTTTGTAGGAAGATTCTGCAGGTTCCCTCTTTCCCCATCATCCTGTAGATCTTCAGGCAGCACCCTGTGAGGTGGTCCTGTGAGGATTCTTGGTCTCCTGGTGGCAGAGCCATGAAGCGATAGGCCCCTGTCACCTTGTTCATGGGAGGCAGGGCCAGGATAGATGACAGCCTGACCCCATTTGGTTCCCAATCCTTGCTGTTTGACTGGCATCTCAGCATATGGGGCCGTCGGCCTGGAGGTCCTCTGAGGAATTGA